TTGGGACAGAGAGAGACAGAGCATGAACGGGCGAGGGGCAGAAAGAGAGGGAGACACAGAATCGGAAACAGGCTCCAGGCTCTGAGCCATCAGCCCAGAGCCCGACGCGGGGCTCGAACTCACGGAACGCGAGATCGTGACCTGGCTGAAGTCGGACGCTTAACCGACTGCGCCACCCAGGCGCCCCCGCGCTGTGCTTTAAAATAAGGGTACATTTTCCAATCGGTGTGTGCACCCTTCCACCTCGTGACCCCACCCCACTTAGAAATCCCCCCGGACATCAGACCCCATGTCACAGGCCCACCAGAGGTCGGATGCCAACTGGGGAAGGAGTCCACCTGGAACCTCTGTGTCTTCATCATCACTCCCTGCCTGTCCACCCGGAGCTGCGGGCTGGAGCCCAGAGCCCCGGGAGGGTCTGTATCTCGACAGTCTGCTGGGACTTTACACCATCCTGGGGAAAGGCCACGGGGGTGTGTGCAGACTCGAGAAAGGGCTCCTGGTCACAAGAACAGGGGGCAGCGATGCCAGGAAGGCGTGTTCATTAGAGGTCAGGCCCTGGAGAAAGGACCTCAGCCGCACAAAGCCCTGTCCCGTGCCGTGTGCGCCAGCAACGTGAGCGGGGCCTGGAGGCACAGCTCCACTGCCTCTGCTCCTCAGGGCCCCCAGCCAGCCGCTCCTCCCTAGCCGCTCCTCCTGGGGCCAGGCCGCTCCTCCCCAGCTGCTCCTCCCGGGGCCAGGCCGCTCCTCCCCAGCTGCTCCTCCCGGGGCCAGGCCGCTCCTCCCCGACCCGGCCCTCCCGGACCCAGCACAGGGCGCGCAGCCAACGAGTATCCACAAAAGGGAGAGACCAGCCTTGATGAGGCCACCCTGAGCACGGAAGCCACGTCTCCAGGCCAGGCTCCGCCCAGGACCAGGTCTCGCGTCACCGACCACTCGTGCTCTGCCTCCTGGGGCTGGCCCCCACAAGCCCTCCTGACCACTGAGCTCATGGCCTGCCCCCGCTGCCCCCACTGCCAGCCTGGCGGCTCCCAGGGTGGCTCCCGCTGACCTCTCAGGGCGGGCCAATGAGGGCGGCCAGGCAAGGCCTTCACACCTTAGCTCCTCTCGCCTCTCTGGCACCAAGAGCCGGACTGAGATGCAGGCTCCTCTGTGGGTCCCAGGGTCTCATTGAGGGGGGACTCGGTCCCTGCACCAGGACACCCGCATGCGGACACAGCAGGTGTGACGGATGTATTAATGGCACAAATAAGTGAATACACAGGAAAGTGTCAGAAAGTCTGCACTTAACACCGTTAACATGTACATCGGTAAAGGAGGCCCACCCAGCAGGCAGAAGCTACTGTGTGAATCAAGCCCCTTAAAACTCGCACGACTTTCCGGCCTGAGGCCCCAGATTACTAACAGCCTAATCCCAGCCTCACAGACACACTTCTGGGGTGGCTCCGTGTGGGAACTTATCTGAGCTCCTCCCTGGACCCACACGAGCACACCTGTCTTCACCCGTCTCTCCAGGGAGAGCCGTGACCTGTTCTTGGTCAGTGGCTTCTCAGGGTGGTTTTCTGTGTCACTTTACAAAACAGATAATCGACTGTCCTTGAAACAGGAGGACCTCCTATCTTTCTTTCCTGCCCGCTCCAAGAGGGGACACATTCTGTGCCCAGGCTCTGCCGGATCCTCCAACACCCCCCAGCCTGCAAAGGACACCGGGGAACCAGTGTCCGAAAGGCAGTGTCGAGAAAAGTCCCGACAAACGCTGCTCTGGTGACCGCCTCAGACAACACGGCCTCAGCTGTTCCATTTGGGGTGCTGTTCCTCTCAGTGTCACACAACAGAGATGAATGAGGCCATGCTCGGTGTCATCCACATGCATAGACGGTAACTGCCTGCACGGGTCACCCACAAAGGCATCAGAGTCAACAGTGGGACCATAAGAAGTCTCCTACTTGTGAAAAAACCCAGAGTCGTAACACTGGAATTCCAGAAGGTGGAACAGAACGTGCAAATGTAATCCAGCAGACACGACATCCCCAGAGAGGAAGCCAAGAGCTGCTGGGTTGCTTTTCTCGCAGAGAGAGGAGAGAACAGGGTCCACCTGGGGACAGGCAATCAGAACACTCCTGAAAGAAACAGCTAGAAGGGGCTTCCCCTTATGCACAGGCGCTCCCGGCTCGGAAACACCTGCAGAAGCCTTGGCTGCCAGAACATGCCCCAGGGCACTGGGCTGAGACCCTGGAAATGCACTTGGGTGGTGACCCCAGGGACACGTGCGCACTCTGGCTGCTGCTGGCTGGCCACGCTCTACTCCCCGCACTTCTCGCCCCTACCCCTGAACGCCCCCCACAGATCCTCAGGACAGAGGTGAAGGCATTGAGGTTTCCACAAACGAGATCCCTTCTCCGCAAAGCGAGATCCCTTCCCACATCTGGCTCCCTGTGCATCCAGCAAGTGGAACACAGGCGTGCTTGGAGGAACGGTCAGAACCACAGGGCCTTGGCCCCGCACCCTTGGATCCCGGAGAGTCTGAACGGATGATAGGAACACACATAAACGGCCAATGAGGTGCTTCATTTCAAGGGGCAGCAGCAGGCCCAAGGCTGAGTTGAATGACAGGCGGAAACCGGCAGTGAGAGGACGTCACTAGGTACTGAGGTAGGAAAACAAAGCTCAGGCTGATGCTGCATGCGATGACGGTGCCCCCGGGGCCCCACCCAGCTCCCTGTCCTGCTCCTTCGTCCCCCACGTGGGGCTGGCAGCCCAGGCCGCACGGTCAGGACCATCTTTCTTCCTGTGACCTCTCAGAACATGCTTTGCCTGCGAGCGTGCCTGCACACCGCTGAGGATGCTGTCAGCGGTGGGTGTGCGGGAGCCTCCCGGCTACCGCGGGGCCGCGAACGCTGGTTTCCCTGATGGCCTACCCCCCACCCGGCCCTGTGCTCTGAGAAGAGAATCCAAGCTGGAGTCCTGGCCCTGTGGTGACGATGGGCAAGGGAAGTAGCTCCACGTGGCCCGTGAGAGGAGAAATCCGATGAGACAGCAAGGACTCCCCTGGGCTGCACACACACACCTGCACGCACGCACC